GTCCCAAAAGTCATCTCCTGTTTCCCTGGTGATGGGGCTAATGACTCTTAAGAGCTTCTTTTGTCTTGAGATCCCTGGCTCCAAACTTCCTGATGGTTCCACATCTGCATTTCTATAGGACTGGCTCCTGCTTGGGACAAAGAGATGATGCCAGGTTTGGTTTCTGCTTTTCAAAAAATGCTTTTAAAAATCCTTTTGGGAAAAAATATTTTTTCCTTTTTAATATTTCCTTCTCTGGGGCTTTGACTTCCCACAATCCCCGCTTTGTGCCTTTGGTGTGAGAATGTCACACCAAAATGGCACAACATTAAAATCAATCTGATCAGGGAAACTTAGTAAACTAACTTTAAACTGTTATGCCAAAACATAAGACACTAATAGAGGCAGCAGAAAAAGATCCCTGCTCCCAAAAGGGGAGCTTGCAACCATAAAGTTCTAAAAGTCAAGGCAAAATTTTGTTAGGTGGAAAAGAAATTTATAGTGTCCAATATTTTGTGCCAATCATTTTCAAATGTTGGATGTCACTTTTAGCTTCCAGTCAGGTTTGCACATTCCTCCCAAAATTCATCACAGCCATGGTTTTCCTTAGTACATGACCACTGGCTGCCCATTTTCAAGGGTTGTTTTCCTGCCTTAGCTCTTAGTTCAGTGCATCCAGGTTAGTAATGTCCAATTAAGGTTAGCCAGTATGTCAGGCTATTAATTTTTTTTTTAAATTGCACATAGTGAGCTGTAGGAATCCCAATCTGAGTCCAACAGTGCAAGATATTCAGGGCTGAGATTTTAGGGATCTTTCCTGTTGCTTCCTTAGTCATAAGGCATAAGAATTGCAAATCACCTAAGGGGGCCTAGTTCCCTCCCCCTTGGAATCTGTTGGAAGTTGTTCCTACAATAGAGCAAAAATCATCCTGGGGAACTTTACTGAAGGTAGGTAGAAGAGACTCAAATGTGATTATGAATGGTGTGTGTGTGTGCATGTATATGCAGCTACTTTTACTAAATAGGCAATACAA